TTATCTGGCTTCATGGACAGATAGAGTTGGGTGTCATCTGCATAGCAGTGAAAATGTATATGGTAAATGGCCTGTATCTGTATAGCGCTTTTACTAGTCCCCAAGGACACAACAACCGAGACTGTCCGAGCCGGGGCTCGAACCTGCAACCTTCCGATTACAAGGCGAACTCCCAACTCTTGAGCCATGATTGCACCACATATATTATGTCTTCTAATGATACTGCCTCGGTGAAGTATGTATAACAGCGGTCCCCAACCTTTTTTGCACTACGGACCGGTTTGTGCCCGACAATATTTTCACGGACCGGCCTTTAAGGTGTTGCGGATAAATACAACCAAATAAAACTAGTACCGCTACCGAAAAAAAGAAGATTTATTCATAACACACGTGAAAAGACCCAGGAAAACCGAGTTAATGAAAAAAACGATAACAAAATAATGCTAAAACCCGATAAAAACCCTGAAAACCATACATTTCACACCCGAGTCTCAACTCTTGCAGCCCGGTACCAAATGACTCACGGACCGGCCTGGGGGTTGGGGACCGCTGATGTATAATGTAATCAGAATTGGTCCTAGCACTGAACCCTGTGGAACACCATAATTGACCTTAGTGTGTGAAGAGGACTCTCCATTTACATGCACAAATTGGAGTCTATTAGATAGATATAATACAAATACGATATGATTTCCAGTTCATGAGGACAGTCTTCTTGGCAATGCATAGGGCGATGAGAACCATGTGGAATGTATTCAGTATTCATCTCTGTAGTGACATCATCTATGTTGCCCAACAAAAAACTGAAGGAAGGCTGGAATGTTTCACATTCAGTGTGGCTGTAATTGTCAGGTGTATTGTCTTGACAGTGTGAGCAGTACACAGTAGTATTTTGTATTGTATTAATTGTAGACTGGGATTTCTAATCAATTGAAATGTTTTTAAGCAAATTTGAGACCAGAAGTTTTGGTCTAAGCTGACTGATGGATCCACTTCCCATTTTTGCAATAGGAAGGGATTTTGACTCATCTATTTTTCAGAGTGTCTTGTACATTTTAGACAGTAATTTGGGGGTTTTGAGATTAAGGAATTGTACCACACTTAATTTGACTTGATAAGGTTTTCTTTTTTACTATAGATTTAATTTATTGGTATTCTAAAAGTCTTTTCTTCTTAATCCCATTCTGTATAACCAATATGTCAAATGGAATAAATATATGTTTAAAGGAATTAAATAGAAGTATGTAATTGCTTTACAACTCCAATCTAGGAAGTTATGTTAGGGTTGTTCCAAACGGGAGTACATTTGCATGGTATTAATGAAGACTCAGTCATTTTTAGAAACTCCAATCAGAGAGGAGCTGATGTTGATGCTTTTAAAGCATACGTGTCGTTTGATGTTTGAGCTAATAAATGGTAGGTCCAAATCTTGATATTATTGCATAGTGCCTGTTCTACTTCTAGCTGGGGCTCATCTAAGATGGTGTGTTTTAACCATCCTGAGATGAATTATAGCCTGTTGGCTAGGAAGTAATGTTGAAAGGCAGATCTAGTCCTCGTTTATCCGTGGTCTTTCGTAACATTTTTAAGCTAATACATGGGCGTTAATCTTTCCAAAGGAATTTAGAAATATACAATTCCAGAGATCTAAACCAGTCTAGTGATGTTTACTCGGGATCA